ATGGGAGGAAGTACCAAGGATTGACCAAAACAAGAAACAGGTTGTCATAAGGAGCTGCAGAAGGTCAATATATTTTGAGCATGGGCAGCTCAACTTTTAATTCCATCGTAAGGTCCTCTTGCTTATGCTGTCTCCTAGAATGGCTCGGGGGAGCTGTGCTACAGCAATTCTTTGTGAATAATGTCAATAATTTTCTGCACCACTGATAGGTATTGGTGCATAGAAGGTTCTTCATCTTGATGTTCTGAAAAAGGAGTGACTTATAAAATCTGATCATCTTGGCTAATGTTCATAACCATTTTGACTTTCCTCCTCTCTCTCTAGTCCTCTCCCTAAAGGGATTTAAACGTGTTTTCTTAGTTCATTTTGAATGCAATAGCTATTTCGCCCTCCCCATTTCTCTTTTCAGCCACCTGTCAGCTAATCACAAATATGGCCAACCATCAAGCTGCAAAACAAAGCCTGCTTCCCCCGGAGCAGTGTGACCTCACCCGGCACCAAAACTTTCCACCTCAGCACAAGGTGGTGCGGGCAGCTCTTTCCATGTATCAGCCTGAAGCCCTCTTTTTCTCACTCTACTCACTTGGGGTTTCATCTCTGGCTGCGAAACATTTTTATGACTCTCACAAGCATGGGCGGCTTCCAAAGGCATATGGAGCAGAGGTCCATCAGTGGCTATTAGCCACAAGGTATAGATAGGGACTCTGGGGCAAGTGATGCTCTGTCTTCTTGGTGCTTGGGGGGGCCAACAGCGGGAGGGCTTCTAATGTCCTGGCCCCACTGGTGGACCTCCTGATGGCACTGGTATTTCTGGCCACTGTGTGACACAGAGTGTTGGACTGGATGGGCCTTTGGCCTGATCCAACATTGGCTTCTCTTATGTTCTCTTATGTTCTTAGCTCTTGGGTCCAGATATCTGTTCGCCTTTTGATGAGGTGTCCTAACCACCATGATTTTATCATAATATGACGTATGACCTATAACGGCAGGAAGCTAGATTGCTCCACGTGCTTCCACAAGGAACAATTCTCTGTGTAACCCTCACTGCTGTTGTTAACGCAGAGGCATTTGCAGTTGCACCGACCAGATCATCCACCCAGAAGTTTCCCCTGCATTTCCCTTGCCTCAGCCCCCCCCCCATAGTCACCTTTCCCCAACACACACATACCAGAGAACTTTTTTTTAGTATTTGTGTGCGTGTGTGTGCTTGTGTGCCTGGAAGTCATGGTGACTTCTAGCAACCCCTAGTGGGGCTAGGACATGTCATAGCGGTGGCTTTATATTGCCTGCCTCCACATCCTGCCCCCGGTATTCCTTGGAAGTCTCCCTTCCAAGTACTTGCCAGGGTTGGCCTTGCTTGGATTCTGAAATCTGACAAGGTTGGGCTGGCCTGGGCTGTCCAGGTCAGGGCCCAGATGACTTTTTAAAAACAGATATAAATATATTTATAAATAAATATAGATCACTATAGTGTTGTGATGTTATAATGATCTATTGCCAGATTTCATTTTTTAAATGCAACTTTTGAGCCCTTTTTGTTGCAGAGTTATAAGGGGGAAAGTGCATAGACCCAGACTCCCCATGGTAGCCGTTGCCTATTTCCTGTTCTCAACATTCCAAAAAGTGCCCACAGGCTCAGCAGGATAGCAGGCCTCTTCGCTATACTGCCAGTCCTTACACTCCCCCCATTTGTAGAGAGGCAATGGAATAGCAGCTTGTATCCAACACATTTGTATACAGTAGACATGGATAGACGGAGGATAATTCAGTCTAAGTACTGAAGAGCATGCTTACCACTATTGCTGAACTTTTTGCCTTGGCTATGAAATCAACGTTGATGCCACCAATCACCACCTGAAAGCATGGAGGGGGGGGAATATATACACAGAATCAGCACTCAGAACTTTCTTACATTTCCAAAGCTCTTCCATTATCAGAAGTGTAAGACGGAGCTCTTCCGCCAGGCGTTTGAGTAGGAGCCGCCACGACTGTTACCATCTGTCTACGACTATTACTATCTGTCCTAGCCCTTTATTACCAACTCGCCGTGAGTGCTAAAATGGTGGTACTGCGTGGAGCTGTGGCCACTAAGTATACTATCCTGATGACGTCATATGTTCCCCTTGTTAGATATTATGGCGAGCACTTAAGTTGTATTGAATGTTTTTAAATGCAGTTATAATGTTTTATGCATTGGGCAGTGGCCCCATCTGTACGCCGCCCTGAGCCCGTTTGCGGGGAGGGCGGGTTATAAATTTAAATAAATAAATAATAAATAAGTGACCCCTAAATATGGAGCAAGCAGAGCTTTGGATTCAGCTGATATTTCTCTCTTCCCAAACAATCTGCCTATAAGTTCAGCCTTAACATGCTAGCTATTTTAAATGGCCACAAACGCAGAGAAATGTGAGCTGTGCAGCTGGAACAGACCCAATGACCAAACAGTCTCGGCCTTTCCTATATGGAGGATCAAGCATTTGCCAGCGTCCTGGAGATCAGCTCACACAGTTCAAGCCCCAAAGTAGGCCTCTTTCTGAGATGCATCCCAAAATCGTGCCAGCTCAGCAAATCCTTCAGCAGAACAGTCAAACTTTAGGATCAGGTGATTAATGCAAAGTAAGCAAGGTTTGGGCTTTCTCTCTAGGAGAGGAGACATCCTTCCCGGGGTCAAAGAGCACTCACTGGTCTTGGAGCAGAAACCGCTTTTCCACTCGGAGAGGGGCCATCTCTCCTCCCTTGGGTCCTCTGGATTTTATTCAGGGCCACGGCTATTTGGCTGCCCACTTTGGCATTGTTCTTGATCAAGGCAATGTCCGATTGGGTATCGATGAAAGGAAAGTAAAAAAATACCCAGGAGCCAATAGACAAGTGCATGAAAGGAACAAGCGCAAAGCCATCGTCTTCTCCACAGCCATGTCTGTGCCACCAAACCTATGTAGTAAAGAAGCCATTTCACCCACTCAGCTATGAACCTCATTGGATGGATCCAGGGAGGTTATTCAGTCTAGCCTACCTCAAACGGCTGTTGTGTAGAGGCAGTGGGGTAGAAACACATGCTTCCCCATTGCTCTAGGAGATCCTAGGAGGAACATCAGGACACATATTAGACAGGCAGACAGATGTGAAGCTACTGCAAGAGGCAATTAGGGACTGTGCAGGAACAGTTTGTTTCATTTGTGTCTTGCCTTTCTTCCCATGAGATCGGATACAAGACAAAAAGCAGTGGCACAGCAATATGTGTAAACAAGGAAAAAAATGCATGTGCCCAAAGTCAACCACCAAAAAAACAATGATTTATAGATTTTATAGACATAATATATACATGACTCAGAACAAATTTTCCTATGAAAATGGTATAGTGGAGACATGCTTCAGACTCCTGAAGGGAGGTTCTAAGAAATGATTGATTTTCCATTGGGAATCACTGCTGTAAATGAATATACTTTGTGGATGTTTACACGTATCTATGAAATGTTGTATCCAGCATGATTCTTGAAAAAAATTATTGAAACGGATTTATAACCGGGGGGGTCCATCGATGTGGCTGGCAGAGGCACTATCACATCCTACAGTTCAAGGACTTTTTAAAATTTAATTATTACAAAGATGTGGATGAAAAAGCTTTACCTGTGGGTTTCTTCCCATGAGGCCAGAACGAAGGTTAAGCCTCACAATAACTCTGTGAGGTATGTTACACAAAAACCACCCACTAAGGGCCACATGTGGCATGCAAAATGGTACTATAATGTCTGTGCAATTCCAGTACATATGCCAAGGGTCTAGAACTATGTGCAGTTCCCAACTGTGTGTGCATATGCTGGCAAACATGCATTTGATGCCATGTGCCATGTCTGGAGAGCCTGAGATTCACAACTGAGTGGAGAGTTGATGCTGGATCTCCCATAGCCAAACCTGGTTCTTTGTCTATTGCATCATAGTAGTTTAAGGATCCCCATAACATGGTGCTGAAAACCTGGCCATGCCAAAATTAAGAATGAAGCCAAGGATGATTTGGCTTCAACCAAGAAGAATATGGCTTATGCCTAGTGCCATGATGTATTTACCTCTCCTGGAAAAAGATGCAAAGACATACATTTAAAATCTTTGCATTAAAAAAGAACAAACTGGGAAGAGGATTTCTGGATACTGGTGCTTTAAGATTTCCAGAAGGTATGGGCTTTTCTGCATTGTCATTTTACTCATATGTAAGTTCCTGTTTCTTCATGGGGTTTTTTTCCCCTATTCTACAAGTGTTTTGCTCCCTCTAGTGGTCTATTTGATATCACATAGGTTTATGTCTGGCATATCTCCCTGTCGATCTATACTGCAGGTTTTTATGCTGGACATAAACCTGTAAGGTAACAAACCAACCACTAGTGGGCACAACACATGTGCAGAAAAGAACACACACACCCTTCCCCTGAAGAAACAGGAATGTACCATCCAGCAAAATGAGAATGTAGAAAAGCCGTATGAGTACTTGGGAGAAGACCTGGTCATTTGCATTTGGGGACACAGCAGGTCCTGGTGGGAATATTACTACAAAAGGATACTGGAATGGAGGGATTTTCCACTAGACAATTCATTCACTCTCTGCAGCAAGAAGGGCGTGAGCTCCTTTCCTGTGATTCCTGCCAATGGAAGAATAAGAGCTCTTGAGGGTAGCGCTGGAGGACAGCATGCAGAATCGCCAACCTCCAGGTGGGGTCTGGAGACCTCCCACTTTCACAACTGATCTCCTGGCTACAGAGATCGCCTGGAGATGATGGCTGCTTTGGAGGGTGTTCTCCCCCCCCCCCCCCCCCCCCCCGCAAGCCCTGCTCTCCTCAGGCTCCACCCCTGAGGGTGCAGGCAAGTTGAACAGCTGTTACTGAAGGAGGTGGGAGACCTTGCCAGTGTGCAGAAGAACAGTGCACAAGCAAACGGGGGCATGTGAGGGGAAGGGCAAGAAAGGCCAGCTAGTGGGCCGCTGGGCATTCTGTGTCCAGGGCCCCTCCAAAACCTGGAACAGGCCCTGCTCCCAGCCCATGTGTGATCCAAGGTCTTCATGGCAGTCATGAGAAAGTTGTGCCATGGTGAATTGGCTCCGGCAGTCTTCAACACAGGATCCTGTCAGTGTGTTCAGTAAGGGAAGCTGGAGTGATCCTTACCGAGACTCCCTCAAGGCCTGCTGGGTCGCTTCTTCAATAAGCTGTCCTGAAGCAGCTTCCTCCTCCGGGCAGGGCACTGCGATCAGCACTCCGCTGCCCAGCTGCAAGGCCGAGGACCTGGCTGAAAACAGGAGAAGGCAACCGAGGATAAGGAAGGAGAATTTAGGAAAGTTTCAGCCCAGTAACATATGCGTTGACTCAGAAGCAAACCCCAGATAGCTTCCACGGGAATTACACCCCCAGACAAATTCAGCGTGCCTAAGGGTGCCACCTTAGAGAGAGAAACCGGGAAGCTTTGTCTATTCAAACACCAGTTCCAGACTCTGGTCATGCAAGAACCACATTATCTGTCCACAACTCACCAATCAGTTTAGCAGCATCCTCCTCGTTTTGTACCTTATAGGGTGCTTGGAAGCCACTCTGACGGGAGAAGAAGGCTGGGAACTCTCTGGATTCTCCAAAGGTGGCCACACAGACCCCTTGAGTTTCCTGCAAATGCCAATGGTGGTGGTGGAGGAAAGTGCTGCAAAGTCACAGCTGACTTATGGCGACCCTGTAGGGCAGGGGTGTCAAACATACGCTCCGGGGCCAGAACCAGCCCACTCAGGGCTCTTATCTGGCCCGCGAGCAAGTGGGGCGGTTCTCAGCCCGTGGGTCATGGAGGACAAAAAGCACCCCCTGGAGGTTTTAGAAACAGCCCCGCTGCTTCTGTGGAAAACACGGGAGGGATAAGAACTGGAAGTGGGGGGATCTGGGAGAGCCAGGCTTTTGCGGGTTCCCCAGTAAATCAATTGCTTTCACTACTAAGAATCAATTGCTTAACTGGGTTTGCCTGTGTCCTTTATAATGTTCATATCTCTGGTACCTGGCATTACATTTTATGGCACACACGGCCCGGCTTCACAAACTACCTTTCGGTCAGATCCAGCCCTCATAACAAATGAGTTTGACACCTCTGGCAGGAGACATGCAAAGGTAGTTTGCCACTGCCAGCCTCCATGTCATCGTCCTGGTATTCCAAGATTTCCTATCCAAATACTAGCCAGGGCCGACACTGCTTAGCTTCTGAGATCCGAGGAGCCTGGGTTATCCAGGTCAGGATGCAAATGTCAATAGGGAAGCTAAACAAATGAAAGGGAAAGCCATCTAAAGCAGCAGCTTTCCCTGGCTATCCAGTGCTGTTTACCTTGAATGGCAGCAGCTCTGCAGGGTTCCTAGGAGGGGGTCTTTCCCAAGGTTGCTACGTGAGAACATTTTGGCTGGAGATTGATACTGGGACCTTCCATATGCAAAGTGTGTGTGTTCTAACAGGGAGCTCTCCCTGCTGTTTGATCACCTAAACATTGCTACACAACACCACAAAGTACAGTCCCATTCCCCCAAGTTGCCAAGGCTTGCTCAGGACTTAAACCCTGCCACAGTGTAAAAGAGAATCACACCCCTAGACTCTTCCAGGGCATTTCATTGCTCACCTAGGAGTGGCAGTCCTAAAACAGAGAAGCTTCAAGGGCAGATTACAACGTGAGATTGCTGCATTTGAGTTCATTCACAGATTCAGAACAACGGATCCCTCCAGGGTTGAATACAAACAAAGGATTCTTATCTCACTACAGATCCTAATTTTCTGCTTTTCATACCCATTGCTCCAGTCAATCTGATTATATTTTGCATTGTGTCTTTATATCATGACTCCTTTCTTTGCAACCCCCCTCAAAGATCCTCATTCCCACTGGTTTCTGACAAAGGGATTTTTGACTCTTGAAAGACTATACCCTGGAAATCTTAATGGTCTTCAATGCACTACTGGACTTGAATCTTGCTCTTCTACTGCAGAATAGCAAGGCTTCCCTTGAAACTGTTCTTAAAAATAAAAAAATAAGATAAAAGTCCACCCCATCAAAACATCTCCTCCAGAAAGGCTGTGGGGTTTCATTTCACTACTGGCCTGCTGCTCAACTGATTTTTATACTATCCTGATTGTTTGTGTTAGTTATATCTAATAATAAATGAGCTGGTCCCTGTATGGATGAGGAAAGCATAAAAACTGAGCCCACCCCATGGACAAGGCAAGGGGTCTCTACCTGCTTGGGGGACTTTCCAGATATGCAGAAAAATATGCCTCTGTACATTGACCCAAAGGAAAAAGGCCATCAAAGGGGCCTGATACGGACTGAGCATGCTCCAGAAGGGACATAAGCCTCAGATTTCACAGCATCAGAAGAGATCTCTGAGCAGAGGGAGGATTTCCAGACTTGCCGGCCAGCCGTGACAGTGCCACTCTTTTCATTCATCACACAGTTTGTGCTCACCAGATATTCAAGTGTCCTACCAATATCCAGTATAGACTTGACACCCGCAGAAATGACAGCGACAGGAGTTCGGCCTAGCTCTGTCAGATCAGCACTCACGTCTAAACCTGGGAGGGACAAAATACACCACAAAATATGAATTGCAGTTCCATTATCA